CAAGGGTCAAAAGTAATTGGGGGTGTTCAAAATCATTATTTCTTCACCCCGGACGCGTATTATAAGTATCGTGAAAAAAAATAATAAAAAAATTTAGAAAAAAATCCAAGTAATTTTAAATCTGGCTGTGAGACATAAGCGGCACCGATCCTAGCAATGGTGTTTTACTTTGGTTTGATGTGTCATCTTGGCTGGTTTGGGAGACTACAACGTTTACACTGTTGGGGTGTGGATCTGTAAATCCTAATCCCCATAATTTTGATGTGGGAGGAAAACGGGAGTGCCCCAAGAAAAACCCACTTTCACTACCCGGACACAAATATTTTGAAATATTTTAGTAACAAGTGGAACCTAAAACTGAGCAAAACTTTATCCATACAGCAGCTGATAATTGAATAATTAAAAAACAAATACACGCTAAAGATTGTTTTAATCGCTTTACACTCTCTACTTATCTCAGGCCGAGAGAGTTGTACTGCGAATCAAAGGGTCCAGGGCTCGAGACGTAAATACAATGAACACACTCCACACTTTTAGATGTGAGCATTATAAAACTGGAAGTCAGTCCTTTTATTCATTTGTAAAAACCGGACGAAGCATCTGTGATGGTGAGTGCCGCAGTCTTTTGCCTTCCGCACGGTCACTAGCTCAAAATTAGCGAACTATTTGAACCCTATGAATCTCTAATAACAAAAAATGATCCAAGTATGAGCTGAGTCGGGCTTGAATGAGGGGCCCGGCATGGCCAGGTGGTTACGGTGCTCGACTCGCAATCTGTGAGTCGCGGGTTCGAATCCCCGTCACACCAAACATGCTCGCCCTTTCAGTCGTGAAATGTATTGATTTATTACACAATGTAGTGTTCTAATCAATAATTATCGAATATCTACTGTGTAAATTAGTTTTGATCGATTTCAGAACAAATTATTTACGGGATATATCGTAAAAAGAAATTAATTTCGAAACAAAAAGGTATCGTAAACAAGCTAACGTACATAAATATAGTTTAAATAACGTGAACAGATTCATAGGGTTAAAAGTGATCCTTAGTAGAAATTATTTAATTAATTTATTTTATTTTGTTCTTAAAGAAAAAGTTGCACAATGGGCTATTTGTCCTCTTCTCACTGCGGGTATCGAAATCTGATTTCTTGTGGACTTGCAGTTGACAGTCTCAGTAAAATAGCATAGTTTATAGAATATTCACCCTGGACGGTAACTTATGCGCATGTGGGCTAAACTAAACCTGAACTCGCGTCGTACCCATTTTCTTTCCACTTAGCCCGGCCTAGGCCCGAAGCTTAAACGAAAAAATATCGGCCGACCGTGGTAAGATCAAGATAGTCTGTTTTCATGTTCCAACCTGCCAAGATAGAGAAGAAAAACGTAATAATATATATATACATATACTAATAACGTTAATATGTGTACTTCAGAGGCGGAACTAGCGCGGCCGGAGCCCGCGGCACCAGGGGGCCCGGTATTGTCTTATCTTCTGAAAAAAAGGGTCCCCGAACTACTCGTTCCGCCATTGGTGTACTTATGAACATTAGTGTTGCCATTCAATATGACCATTTTAGCAATTGATACAAAAGAGGCGTGAGACAGTAGTTGTAGTTCCTTAAAGCGTTGCTATTCAATATGACCATTTTAGCAATTGATACAAAAGAGGCGTGAGACAGTAGCTGTAGTTCCTTAAAGCGTTGCTATTCAATATGACCATTTTAGCAATTGATACAAAAGAGGCGTGAGACAGTAGCTGTAGTTCCTTAAAGCGTTGCTTTTGATTCCAAGTATTAAAATGAGGAAACTATCAAATAAGTATTGTTTGGTCGCAGCTATGGGTGGAGGCTATCGTTTTAAGTAATTTTTAAACAAAGTCTGAAAAGTTGAACAAATCGAATAAAAGGCCCAAGGAAGCGAATTTTTATAAATACGTTTGACAAACTTACCTCATTCAAGTTTGTTTGTTTTGAATTTCGCGCAAAGCTACACGAGGGCTGTCTGCGCTAGCCGTCCCTAATTTAGCAGTGTAAGACTAAAGGGAAGGCAGGTAGTCATCACCACCCACCGCCAACTCTTGGGCTACTCTTTTACCAACGAATAATGGGATTGACCGTCACATTATAACGCCCCCAAAAGGATGTGTGAAACTTAACAAGAATTTGTCAGTTCGAGCATGTGGCTGTTGAGTAATATTTACAGACTGATCCTTCGCTTAAATAGCAACTGATGATAAGCACTGAAGGTTTATAAGTGCAAGTAAGGGTGAAAGAAAGGATGTGTGAAACTTAACAAGAATTCATCTAGTTCTATTTTACTTTCGTTGCATTAATGGACTAACAGTAATTTATATAATTATATTATTAGACTTAGAACTATTTCATTAAGCAAAATGTGACAAAACAGCTTTCCCTGACAACATTGACAAAAGCATTTGTAGACATTTAGGTTTATATAATACCCGCCTAAATTGAACATATGCAGTTGGTATTATTGCTATTATGAGACCTGAAAAATATCCCAAACATTCTTAACAAAATTTTAATCTGATAAAAATTTTCACCCTTACTTGCACTTATAAACCTTCAGTGCTTATCATTAGTTGCTATTTAAGCGAAGGATCAGTCTGTAAATATTACTCAACAACCACATGTTTGTCAGTTCGAGCAGAACTAGATGAATTCTTGTTAAGTTTCACACATCCTTTCTTTCACCCTTACTTGCACTTATAAACATTCAGTGCTTATCATCAGTTGCTATTTAAGCGAAGGATCAGTCTGTAAATATTACTCAACAACCACATGTTTGTCAGTTCGAGCAGAACTAGATGAATTCTTGTTAAGTTTC